GATGCGACTGCCGTCACGGGTGTAACGATTTTGAGAATCCATGGCGAGACTTGATGGAGATTCACGGTTGCTTTGAAAATAATTTCATTATATTGTGGCAACATCAATAACAAACTTTGACACATGCACACTGCGTAAGCGCAAAAAAAGGTCAGTGTTGCCAGTAACTTTGAAGATCATAAAAATTGTAACCATGGGTGCCAAACAGTGTCAATGACGACGCCTGGGTGTGCCTAAGTTTGATTTTGGCACACTGTGTAGAGCGACCAACCCCTTGACGTGTTGTTGTTCTTCGAGAACCCATTCGTGGACGTTGAGGAAATCCGTTGACAAGAATCCCAAAACTCGGATCACCATGAAATCAAACCGAGTTCGGTATTATTTTCTAAGTGTGTGACGAAACGAGTCATGAACGAGTGTGATGAATGCGTTCATACATATCATTCCGCACTCTTCCATCCCATAGCATCATTTTAATCATACGTCCTATCTCCATCACTTCGCGTCCTGTGAAGTTAGTCTTTCGTCTATTCGAAGCTTTCCGAAATCATGTTCAATCACTCTTGCGTATATCTGTCATTTTGTTATTTCATGAATGTCGACTACTAGTGCTGCCAAATGCATTTTTCCGACATCAAACTAACGGTAATTTTATGTTTCATTCATTACTACTTTATCATATATACTACAGTGGCCACAGCGAGTTCCAGCAGCAGCAGAATGCACCACGGTAAGCAGCAAGGACTGCTAAGTCAGATGTACACATCGAAATCTAGCAATAGCACACCCCAATAAGGACTGCAGCTTAGGAAAACCAAAATGATGGAGGATAAAAGCAGCGTTCACAAGAAAATAAAGGAAATGGTGACGGGCATCAAATCCGCCATGATTGCTGCCGAACGTGAACAGTGCACTGAGGACAAGAACTGACTGCCGAAAAGGTACTGATCGAGGTCAAGGAGAAAGCAACAATTGAAGCACAGGATACGCCGAAATCCACGCTCGGAGAAGAGGAACAGAGAAACGCCAGAAGAGTAAGAAGAGTTGAAAAAACTCAAGAATGACAAGGAAGGAAACAAGGAGGAAGGATGGGGTACCGTCGAGAAGCCGAGGGAGAAGTGGAAAAACCGGAAGTAAAAGACGTGTAGAAGAAATAAGAACAGAAGGAGTGTTCGGCACGGATGGCAGAGTAGTTAAAACAAGCTGTCTCGAGCTGTCTGCTGGAGCGAGTGCCTTTTTTCTCGATTCTATCAAAGAACTGTTCAAGACGCTACGACAGTTACTCTACTAATTTAAGAGACTGTTACAATAGCGTGGTTCAGATTTTGATAGAAAGAAAAGCAGTGCCTTTAGCATCAGGTGTTTGGACTTTGATTGTAGACTGAGGACTGAACTTCTTACTAAATTAGAGATTCTGGTCTCATCAGTAATCTTAGTTTAAAACCTGATGAAGGTACTGGCTGGAAGGAATTCGGATCTTAACAGATCGACAGACGATTTAAGACTAACGAAAACATTCGATTTATTAAGTACAAAATTTGCCTTATATAGGGGTTTGAGCCTAGAAAGATTTGTCTCCTGCTAAGATCTTCCTAACGTAATGTTGATTAGAAAGAAAGAGACCGAAAGTATTCCTAATCTAAACTTATCCATCGTTCTTCTTCAAGATCATGTGAGGCATTTCGGGACCAACGCAATCCTTCCAGAATAATCTCGTATGTATGCATACGTCTAGGATGCACTTGACTCCTACGCAGCGCTTATACCTAAGCTAAACTGGTGCAAGCGTATAGTTTCCCTATGCTGAGTTTTAATGCTTTGTTTTATGCTGCGTGCATCCGTTGGGTAAATTCTATGCTGCAAACGAGAGCGTACCGCTTATGCGTTCTCTTATTAGATGGCATTGTCCTGGAACTTTGTGTCATTTTCGATGCTCTCGTATTCATTGAACCTGACTAAGCAGAAGGGATGATAAACAGAACAGCTGTTTATATTTGACTTTGAACTTTTCCTTCTTTGCATCGTCTTGGGTGTTTCGAGAACGTTCTTCAATTATTGCTAATTTATCCGAGAATTTATCGCATTCACAACAAGGAGAAACCCAGGCTGCATCGAGAGTGAAGTAAAGGCGATGCGCTGATCATCGAAGCAAAGAATAAAACGACGTACGCAGTACTCCTTCCGACGGTTCAAGAGGTCCGGAGTTGAAGCAACTAGGAAAGAACGTGGTGAAAACCAGGCACACCCAGAAAGGCGAGATGCTTTTTGAGTTGAAGAAGGTGAGGAAGAAGGATCCTTCGATCAAGAGCTCAGCCTTCAAGGAGCTCGTCGAAAAATCCCTTGGCGAAGAAGCGAGCGTAAGAGCTCTATCCCAGGAGACAGTGGTCGATTGCAGAGATCTGGACGAGATCACTACAGAAGAGGGGCTGAAAAGTCCGTTGAGAGTGCACTGCGATCTGGGAGACATCCCGATGCCAATCCAGATGAGGAAAGCTTACGGCGGCATGCAAACGGCGGTGATACGTCTTTCGACAGATGCAGGGAACAACCTTTTGGAGACGGGCAAAGTCAAGGTTGGGTGGTCAGTGTGCTCGCTGAAAGCCCCGGGTTAACAATCAACTGGAGCAATGCTTCAAGTACATGGGATTCGGTCACCAGGCGAGGAACTGCAATGGCCCTGACAGATCTGATCTGTGAAGGAAATGCCTGGCATTCTTAAAGGCTATGGCAGGCCAACAGTAATGGAGGTAACCCAAATAAACCTCAATCATTGTGACACTGCACAGCAGCTGTTGTGGCAGTCGACAACAGAAACGCAGTGCAACGTTGCAGTCATTGCGGAACCGTATCGAGTCCCTCCCGATAACGGTAACTGGGTGGCGGATTGAGCTGGGATGCCGGCTATACAAGTTATGGGCAGATAGAAGCGGTTGCGAGCTCATACAAAGGTTTCGTGATCGCCAAAATTAACGGAATCTTCATATACAGTTGCTACGCACCCCCTAGGTGGACGATGGAGCAGTTCCACGAGATGCTGGATGGACTTTCCGAAGAGCTGATCGGACGAAGACAGTCCGGGGCAGCAGATGTTCCAACTCAAGAGGACACAGTCTGCTGGAAGTTATGCTGTCCAACGAATTTACCAGCAGCACTTTTCGCATAGATGGCCGGGAATCCATTATCGACGTCACTTTCTGCAGTACGTCGTGGTGGCAAACATGAATTGGAGGGTGTGCGAAGGATATACCCATCAGGCGATTCGCTAGGACGAGAACTTGCGAACGGAAGTGAAAGACGAAGCCTATCGATAAGGATCTTTTCCTAGAAGTACTCCGTGTGGATAGTAGCCTCGTGGATCTGAACGCAGACAAGCTGACCGAAACGTTAGAGAGAGCATGTGACACGACCATGCCGAGGAAACTGGAACCAAATAACAGACGGCGTCCAGCCTACTGCTGGAACGAGGCACTTAACGCCATCCACGCTAGTTGTCTCAGAGCCAGAAGACGTGTTCAGAGAGCAAGAACAGAAGCAGACAGAGAGGAACGAAAAGGAGTGTTTCGAGCGGCCAGGGCGGCACTTAAACGAGAGATACAGCAGAGCAAGTCAAACTGTTTTAAGGAGCTGTGTCGAGACGCTGATGCCAACCCCTGGGGCGACGCATACCGAGTCGTGATGGCAAAGTTCAGAGGTCCAACAAGAGGCCCGCTGAAAAGTGCCCAGAGAAGCTGAAAGTCATCGTGGGAGAGGGAGAGGGAGATTACGTCAAAGTCACGTACGAGGAACTCGTAGCAGTGGCGAAAGAATTGAAGGCGATGGAATCCCCGGATATGTTCAGGATGGTGGTACAGAAATGCCTGGACGAAGGTCATTTACCTGGCAGGTGGAGAATACAGAAGCTAGGGTTGATGCCGAAACCAGTAAAATCGCCGGAGGATCCAGCATCGGATAGGTCTATATGCCTGCTGGATACACTCGGAAAGCTCTTGGAGAAGATCATCCCAAACAGGCTGACGAAATGCACGGAGAGTGCGGACGGAGAGTCGAGAAGACGTCCAAACAGAAGCGGAGAGAAAATCGGGATAACGATCGACGTCAAGAATGCATTCAACAGCGCTAGCTGGGAGGCCATCGCCGAAGCGCTGTATAGAATGAGGGTCCCTGACTACCTCTACAGGATTCGATGGATTTACTACCAGAACCGGGTTCTGGTCTACGAGACAGACATGGAACAGAGATCAATTAAGATCACAGCGGGAGTTCCACAAGGCTCCATCCTTGGTCCAACGCTCTGGAACGGGATGTACAACGCCGTGCTAATGCTGAAGCTGCTTAAAGGAGTTGAGATCGTTGGCTTTGCGGACGACGTCGACTTGACGGTAACAGGCGAGACGCTGGAAGAGGTGGAAGCGTTGGCAACCAAGGCGATCGACATGATTGGTAACTGGATGCAAGGAGCGAAGCTGCTGGTAGACCACCACTAAACGGAAGTGCTATTGGTCAGTAACTGTAAAGCGGTTTAGCGTGCAGAAATCACCGCCGTGTTGAATGAAATACCTGGGAGTGATGATCGATAACTGGCTAAACTTCAACAGCCACGTCGAATTGCCTGTGAGAAAGGACACATAGACTAATACCGATTCTTTCGACCTGGATGAACAGAAAACACGGAGAAGTCAACTTCCACCTAAAGCCACGGCTGCTTAAGGAAATATCTGCATCGTTTCGGATAGGCAGCGTCACGCCTCTGTCCGGAGTGTGGCAACGTGTATGAAACGCCGGAGCACCTTTCCTTCTCTAAGCAGTGGACAGGTTTTGCATTCAGAACTGAAATGGTAACCTTTTGGGTAGATTGTGGGGAACGGCTTTCGGAGGAAGGTCATACAATCAAATTCATCGGTGCACTCGTCTATTGTGGAATCACGGTAACATGTCAAATTTGCAAAGAGCCAGCATAGCTGCAGGAACTTTCTCTATCAATAACCAACAGCAAGAATGCATTCTTCTCAAGCCATGGTTGGGCACACGGCTTCAACGTGTTATTTTCCTTTCATTCACTAGTAAACAGAGTACATCGCTTCATAGGCTTATGCTGCTTCCCCAAACACCTGGTTGTTAAATTTCTCGAAACAAGCAGAGCAACTACTATCAATCGAACACTAAATCTTGTTCGAACACAGAAAGAAAAGCCTTTAGTAGCTCTCTAATAACTTATGGCTTCATAAGAAAAACGAGACTTGGTATCACTAAACACTATTCTATTGACCGGGACAACCATCAATTAACACAGCCCACAATGGGGCTTATCTCCACCGTTAGACCTACGAATAGCGCTAACTTAGGCGAAATCACATTCTTCTGGGACACCACCACCTTGTCGTCATCGGGCATTATCTAATAACGAAATGGAGAATTTTAGACTGGGTTCTTCGAACGATTTCCAATGAGTCCTACCTTGTCTGCTACGTGTTTATAAATAAGACCGTCGGGACCGACGTGAAATACCGAAAAGCCATCATACCACCTGAAATTGAACAAACGGCTTTATATAGACTCTACATTTTCAAACAGGTTGACTACTCACGCTTCCGTATCGGCAAAAATCTCCTTCAGCTTCCACAGCTTGTACTTCCAGAACTGGAACATCACCTTCAGCGCACTGATACCCTTTATCCGCCACCGCACCTTGACGGTGTTTTCCTCAGGGTGTTTGGTGATCTTGAGCACCTCCAACGTCACGTAGGCGTACTTTAAATGCCCAACGGTTCGCAACAGTGCGACTTGTTTGACGTAGTGGTACAGTCCCCTGTTGAGGAAGAAAGCAAAACGTTATGAGCACTGTGGAATAAGCTCCAGAAGCGGCGGAGGAGATCCTTACTCAGTTCGCATGCCACGAATGTTGTTTTCAAATATCAGGTTCGGATTGTAGATGGAGTAATCTAACGGTTGGATGAACAGCTTCGGTAGTGTGTTGGACAGCACTTCGAACACCCGATGCAGCTGTTCCTCCGAAGATTGATTACCGCTGCCGGCGGGAGTTGATTCCTAAAATGAGCGATTCATATTAATTTCAAATCCTAATTTGATTTAAAGTGCACCCACATTTCGGTCACTCGATGTAGCTTGGAAGCGATCCGCCGGTGGTGGCGATTCCAAGCTCGAATATTGCATGCCGGTGCCTTTTTCCAGCGCACCGAACCGATTGATTTGGCCTCCATGCAGTGATCTGATTCGTAGCTACGATAAAAAAAAATATATCGATTAATTTAAAAATAAAATTCTGCAACAAACTATTTTCTGATATCCCGTTGAGTGAGGTTAAGAGCATCAGCTGTTTACACCCGTCAGTCGATACATTATTATGCAATGTTTAGAATTACTATTATAACCAGATCAGCTCCGGTCACAATTCGGCCTAGCTATCCTACCTGTGCCTGAGGTCGAATCCCTACCGTCCCCGAGTCCACATCAGCAGCCGTGGATGATGCAAGTGGTCGTCCGATGATGAAAATCCTGCCGATTGGGGCGAACCGGGTTGTGGCGTTTCGTAGGCAGTTTGCCATTCTGCTTATATCGTTTATGGCTTTTTCCCAGAGGATGGGAACGAAAACTTCACTCGTAATACACCAAACTTAAGTCGAGACCGTACAGGAACCTTCTACGAAGGATTAAGAAGTAATATACATTTTCCAGACAATTTTACACGCCGGAGAACACTGTTCGCGGAACGTCTGTCCTCAAGAGAAATGAAAACATTGAAGAAGGGGGTACTAGATTTGACGTTTTGCCTGAAAAGATATCCGATGATGGGAAAGCGGCTAGGGATGATCAGTGCGTTTGAAGAAAATCGATTAATGTGTGCGAGGTTCCATCCAGCGTTGCCAGATTGTTTTCATGATTATCGGTATCAAATGATTAAAAAATCGGTATTTATCGGTATTCACTATTTTAATTAATTCGACAGTGAGCATGCATAAGGGCGTAAACGCGATTATCGATTCTCTTCGTCGATTTTCTCTTTTGTTAATAATTCGCTTGGATTAACGATTATCGGTGCGTTTGCTGGTGCATTTGAAAGTCAATACAATCTGTTACAGCACTACATTAAACCTTAGATAATTAAAACATAGATTGCTCAGTCAGGCATCCCTGCTTTTACTTGAAAAGTAACATTGAAAGCGCGCTATCTGTCGGCTTAGATAATTAAAACATAGATTTGCCACTTCGGAAAAGAAACTTGCATCAACAATGTGGCGCCTGGCTGAGAATAGCGGTCAACGGGTGAACTATTTTTTTTCTCCCTGCGCATTCATAACTTTGCACGCTAAGATCAATTTACCCAGATTGTACAAAGAAATAATCTTGATTGGCGCAAAGCGAACAAACCCAAATGGTGTTCATATGTGATTTATTTTTATGCAAAATTGACATGAATTTTCCCGTGTTTTAGTTCGTCCAGTTTACGCCCAATTTGAGTAAAATAATCTATATATGGCTTATTTAATCATAGCGTGCAGAGTTCTTTGCTCGGTTATTTGTGATTAACATTCATATCTGCATTTGCGTGAACGAACTCTTTGAGTACCGATTTCTGTCTGAAACAGCAGTGATTCATGTCAGAAACCGAAATGGGGTTTCGACGGTGCGAGTTTCAAAATTGTATGAGTGCTGCTTCCGGTCCAAGTTCAAAAACGTTTCACAAGGTTCTAGTGAAAAACAGGTATTTCTCTAGCTGTTGTTTTTTGATGAACTATTGAGTGATATTTTCTTGGGTTCCAGCACAAGAGACTTGGAGAAATGGATTAACGTCTGCGGTGTCACGAAATTTTCGAAGGAATCAGTTATTTGCAGCGATCACTTCCAGGATGACGACTTCATTAATCCGCTTTGCAAAACTCAGGGGTTAGCGATAATTGATGTCTATTAATTCTAAATAATATATTATAAGCTTTTCTTATCTGCAGACTGCTACCGACAGCTGTTCCGTCTCCAAATCGGAACGTCGCGAGCCAACTTTCACGTTTAGATGGCATTAGTTCGATGGACGTTGGCTTTCAATTAAGCGAGTCGGATGGAACCAGTGAAGCAGTTGTTGTCCTAGAGCATTCGATGGATGTGGTGGGTGAGGTAGTTATCGACGATTCCTCTGATTCGACTCCACAAATTCCTCTAACGACACACAGACTCCGTGAAAATCCTAGCAAAGTTTCCGAGCATATTGATCACGATTATTGTTTCGATCCAATAAGATACGTGTTCATGGCAGATCGATTAGTTGAACTGGAGGCAGAAAACTTAAAACTAAAACGAGAACTTCGAAAGAACAAACAATCTACGTGCAAGAAGAATGCCGTCATCCACAAACTACGGTTGGAATTGAAGAAAGTTAAGGATAAATTAACCGCATTTCTTACCAACCCACTTCAGGATCCTATTCTTGTTGAGTTGCAAAAGAATAGGAATAGAAAGTGCCGTGGAGCTCGATATTCTGATGCCATGAAGAACATGGCACTCGTACTTCAGTACTGCTCAACGAAGGCGCACCGGCAAATGCGACAGTTTGTGGCATTGCCCGGTTTGAGTACCGTGCGCAAATGGTTGGGGAGTATAAACATCCGAGAAGGCTTCTCGACAGCGGTATTCCAGTTGCTAAAGCTGAAAGCATCCACAATGAAGGACGATCAGAAGCTTGTTACTCTTTTCCTGGATGAAATGGCGATATCCGAAAGAGTAACGTACTTTTATCAAGCAAAACCGGACTATTTCAGTGGATTTCCAACAAAATTACCTGGACAGGACACGATGAATACAAAGGACAGAGCAAAATCTGCTCTGACACTTATGATAAAAACGATCCAGTCTGGATTCAAACAGGCAATTGGCTATTTTTTCTGCACTGGCCTCACTGCAGTCCAGCAGAAATCTATTGTAGACAATGCGTTGGATCTGATCGTTGATGCCGGATTCATTCCAAAGGTCATAACATGCGACCAGAACAGTGTCAATCGGAACATGTTTTCAAAGGAATACGGAGCTACAATGGAGGCCCCTTATTTTGATATGCGAGTCAGAGAAGGAACGAACCGTATATACTGCATGTTTGACGCTCCACATCTAATTAAGTCGTGCAGAAATAACCTGCTTAAAAACAACGCGGTTTGGGATGGCCAACTCTGTAGCTTCAATGATATTGTCGATCTTTACTGGGAAGACGTGAAACACGTGCCACGAGTCGTTCCTGGATTATCGTATGAACACATACGTCTATCACAGTTCAGTGAAATGAATGTTGGCTTGGCTGTACAAGCCCTCAGTCACTCGGTCGTAGCTGGCCTTAAAGATTATGTAAGAACGGGAAAACTATCAGAGCGAGCTTTGAACACAGCTAAATTTTGTGAAGACTTCGATATGTTGTTCGATATCGCGAACAGCTCGAGCCTTAAAGAGAAAAAAGTAAATGTTCAATTACTATAGATAAAACTAATTACTTAAATTTTTACTAAACAGGAACTCAAGCGACCTCTGAAATCGGGCTCTCCACACTGGGCGTTTTTGGATACAGTATCCGAAAAACTGCGTAAGCTATACTTCGTAGAGAAAGCCTGCTTGGATCTTGCAATGGTACAATAAGTTTACTTAAATTTAAAAATATTATATAAAATATTAAAATCAATCTCCTATTTCCAGGAAAACAAATTCACGCCGTTAACAAAGAATTAGAAAACCCCGTTCTTCATTGGTGGATGGCTTTCTTACATTTCAGCAATTAAACTATTGTGGGAGGAACTGGAAACACAACATGATTTCAGATTCCTACGTACTCGTAATTTGTCACAAGACTAGACAAGACTGCCTTGAGCATTTTTTTCGGTTATACGCTGGAAAAACGGAAATAATACACACCCCGATTCTTCTCAGTTTTCATCCGCGTACAAAGCTGTCGTAATTAACCAACTACTTGTACCTAAAAAGGTTGGCAACGTGCAAGCTGACATAAGCAAATATATCATTGTAAATGACGAATTACGACAGCTTAACGTAGTACAGAAGCAACATTCCCAGCTATTTTCAGCACACAGATCGATAAAAGAAGCTTTTATCTAGCATCTAATACGACAAACATAACAAAAAACGGTTATGTGCTCAAGTTATTAACGAAAGATAAAGTCAATGAAGAGAATCGATCAATGTTACTCAGGACCTAATGCAATGTTGAGCTTGAATTTTCAACGTCAGACGTGGAATGCGCCATCCAAAATATTAATGTACGCAGGGCAGTTTTGATTCAAAATGCGCACCCATTTCGGCTGCTAAACTTGTACCTCACCCGTTGGCCGACAGCTTAGATAATTATTTTTGCAGAACCCAAGGTAAGAGCGATGCCATCAGTACAGCTCATCGATTTCCTCAAGAAAAGCAACGTGATCCTCGGTTAAACGAAGTTCTTCAACTCAACCCACTGAAGATGAAAAGCGAACGCTGGAAATCATCAACCCCTGCAAGTAGGATGAAACGGCTCCAAATGCAATTGAGTAATCAACGACTGTTTGCAGTAGATTCAAAGTGTGTTACTTATTTTTATAAACTTTCCTCGTCCGATTCAATATCTGACGTCGGACGAAAAAAGGACCGGGAACCGATCACGATGTTATTTGTTGGGTCATCTTCTTCTGTACCTATCCACACACCTATCGCCAAGCCTATCGCTATCGCACTTGAACATTGTGGTTCCTCTCAAAGTGAAGACAGCTCCAAGACCGAGGCCAAGACGTGAACGAAAGCATCACCATCGATAACACATATTCTTGGATCTTTTTATATTGTTTTCTCGATTTATTTCTTATAAAAACACTATGTAATATTCCGCCGCCGGGATGTTCTGAGGCATAACATCTCTGATCACGCCTTCCTTCGGATGGGAAGTAAAGCCGTTGGTCCCCGGTTCATGAGTTGATAAGTCGATAGGTAGGGTCCAGGTGTGGGAGCTGCCTTCCTGGCACGTCGGTAGCATTGATGCTCAGCACGGAAAACAAGATCGACGGAAAAAACAAACCAAAGGGAAAAAAAAACTATGTAATATTTATGAAAAGTGAAAATTTTTTATTATTTTGAATTATTTTGCTTTTGAAAATATTGTATTTTAAATTCAAAATTACACATATGTCATTTCAACTATACCATATTTTAAAGTCGCTTTTAATTTGACAGAAGTACAATTCTTTTTGAAAGTTTTGACTTTTAAAAGTTGCTAGCGAGCAACTTTTGATTTGACAGTTTGCTGACTATCGTTTTGAAAGCTAACCGCTTTCTACCAAAAAGAACCAATGCAAACTTTCAATTCTACCAATAGTCCGCTCACTTATCCTAGACCCTCTCTAAAGCTGGGTTAAGATGGTTCAATTCAGCGTTCAACTCACTTGAACTTGAACTGCGAAATGAACGTCCAGAAATCTGACCGACACGCTCGTCTGATTTTACTCTAAAGTGAGTAACTTTGACTCAGTTTCGTATTTGTATGCTAAATGTCAAAAACTGAGTAACATTAATTTAACAAAGTGAGTAACATTTACTCTAATTAAATAAATATGGATCTTTACTGTTTTGAGTAAGATCAAATGTAATAAACGTCCGAAAATTTTGAAGTCCTGCGCTGAAAGCGAATTCCCCGAGAAATTCCCACAAAACGTTCAAAGAGTGAAAGTTTTAGCGTTCTGTGAAACTTTTCTGGACTAGTAACTAGCGTGAGTAGCAGTTGGTGTTTTTCCTAAGATAAAACTTTATTTCAGCCTAAATTTACACAGGTTACGTTTTTCTGAACTTCTGCAACAACTTTTGGTTGTGAACTTCAGAATCCCAAGCTCGATCCAAAGGAAAGTTCACTATGAGAGAATTGCAAGTAAGCTTTATGAGAAATATATTCAAAAAGAATTTAATTTTCAGGAAAAAAAATGCTGGGAAACTGATCCGTAAGTTGTGCCAGAAGACCGCTTAGTCCATTTCGAGATGTTCAATGTGTTTCTTCCCTGGTTACTTCCCGGAATGGTAATAGCACATGGAAGTGATAACATGCTAGCTGCAGTGACCTTCGGTAGAATCGCTTTATAAGCAGAATTAATATCAATTTGTTGATTAGAGTTTATAAAATTTAATTTTTTAAATAATTCTGTTGTGACAAAATAAATCGTTTTTATTATGCTGCAAAAAAGTTTCGATCTAATAATTTCCTGTCAAAATATAATATTTACAAAACTGAGTAACCTTTACTCAGTTCTGCTAATTTTGCGAAAACCGAAACTGAATAAGTGCTACTCAGATTTTGACAAATTCATACAATACTCAAAAGTGAGTAAACATGGGGTTACTCACTTTAGAGTAGTTCCACTTTTAACGAAAGTGAGTGGAATTTTACTCACTTTAGAGTAAATTCGAACGAGCGTGGATATCGGACTTGCTCTATTCGTTGCCAAGTCAATTGAACGCCTACGACCAGATCGGTTCGAGTTGAATTCAACTCACCTGCCTCATCTAAATCCCGCTTAATGCAGACCTTTTCCTAATCATACAATATAATAATAAAAAATTCCACCACTTGACGATGTCTAGTCTAGTCTAGTCTAGTCTACACATACACAGCCAAAAAAAAAAAAAAATCCACCACTTGAAGATGTCAGGAAGAAACTCTCAGGTGGAAGCATATTTCATGGGCGATTCTCTCCAGTAGAATGCATTAACTTATCAACGACGCTCAACCACCAAGGAGACGTAACCTAGAGAGATCGAGTGCAGGGGAGTTGGCCTCCATTTCTCACAAGTTCCGGATCGAATCTCAATCCATAACCAGTAAAAAAAAGGACTCACCCGTAACAGACATACCACCAACAATCAATACGAAACTAACGATTTTAAATTGGCTCACCACTTTAGTAGCCTATTGGTCCCAAGCAAACGATTAACGTACCCTATTCTAGTTGAAATTCTATTACTACACTATGTTTGTTTTGATTCGCTATGAAAGTTTGACAGATAACATCAGGGGTGTGTGGATTCATGCAGAACATGCAGGGGTGAGTGAAATAGCTTGGGACTGCTTGGGACCGTTGTTCTGGTACTGAGTGAGCCAAAAATAATAATGATTTTCTTCGGGACCCAGTGGTCTTAGAGTTACCTCTATGGTAGATCTGTCAAGCCAACACATACACTCTAAAGTACACTGCTATTTTTTATAATCAATAAATTCACCAACCAACAGTAAAATAACAATAATATATAATCTTATTGAAAAAAAAAAATATATGGGGAAATCACAGGGGGAACGACACTCATTTGGATGCATTTTTTCACTTTAATCATTACTTGGGATTTTCGGGGAACACATAATTGATGGGATTTTTTTGAGCGTGTCGTCTTGATGAAAATAGAGCACGGATAGAAAAAAATAAATTGGAATGGACCATGGGATGAAATGGATGTGAGCGGGGTAAAAAAATTTCAGAGGGATACGAGTCTGAACGCGAAGAGGATAAGTCTGGAGTGCGTTTTGAATTGGTCGTATGTGATAAACGTAAACAGATTGACGTTTTAATGCTACCAGAAACTACTTTGCTTACTTTTCCTAACATCAAAATTTGGACCCGTTCTGTTTCAGCACGAAAAATTAGATCGACAGAAAACAAATCAAGGAAAAAAAAATATGTAAATTCATGGTAAAAAAACACAAAGCGTTGAATTGCTCAAAACACCCCACTTTAATTTTTATATTTCTTCTGTAAACAAAACTGAAGTAAAACTCTAAAATTTGATGAAAAGTGTAAGCTGGTAGCCCCTGTATTTTTTAAGTTGTTATTGATTTTTAAAATATAACGAAATTGCACATTTTTTAAGTAAAATAATAATTTATTTAGATTTTCGCATAATTTCTGTAATTTTTTTTTTCCTTTGGTTTGTTTTTTTTCCGTCGATCTTGTTTTCCGTGCTGAGCACCAATGCTACCGACGTGCCAGGAAGGCAGCTCCCACACCTGGACCCTACCTATCGACCCATCAACTCATGAACCGGGGACCAACGGCTTTACTTCCCATCCGAAGGAAGGCGTGATCAGAGATGTTATGCCTCAGAACGTCCCGGCGGCGCCGACTGGGATTAAACCCAGGCCTGCTGGTGTGAGAGGTAATCACGCTTACCACTACACCACTGGTGCCGTTTTCTGTTAAATTTATTTACATGAACTTTTTTCCTAAGTCCAGACGTTCTTAAGTTAATGCAAATCACAAAATATTAATTATGAAAAATCAACATTTTCAAATGTAAGTCGATATGTCCAGCAACAAAATGTGTTTTCCATGATTGTATTAAATAATAAATAATAATTTTGAATGATTTATTCTCAGATTTGGTGGCTGTCAGACTTGCCCGTTTCTATATAGGCGCAGCGGAAGAAAAACAAGTGATTAATTAAATACTCTCCGTAAAGTAAGAAGGTACGGCTGGTGGCGATGGATCACTAGGTTCCGGTTAATATTTCAGCTCTATTTGGACGGGAATTCGATTCGCAAAATTCGCGCACAGAAATTCCATCAGCCAGCGGGCGGCTTTCTTCTCCAAACTCATGACCAACCCTAGCCAACGGGACGAGTAAAAAAATGAATTCTTATTCCACATGTTCGACGAAGGCGGTTCCATTGTCCGGGGAGGCTTTCCTCGGGGCTAGAATCAGCACCTTCCAAGCTACTATACACCGACAACTGGTTGCTCGTCTCCGTCGGATTCAATCGTTTTAAGCCCGGAAAGTGGATGTGTGTTACCGTCTCCTCCATGATGCGCTTGATGCTTTTGTCCCCGTGACCGATTATGAACGAGTGGTCCATCGTTTATTTGAATGAGATTGTTCAAAACTTACAGCGATTATGGCAGAGCCCTTCGCGGTCGACCTAAAAACTGCGAGAAGCTGCACGGCTTGCTTGATAATTTGTGTGCATGCAGAAGGGATAAGTTGGGAATAGAAAGAATAGATTTGATGGATTGAAAATTTGTGCACGTTGAAAATTTTATGAGAGATTTGGGTAAAAATGGGATAATCTTGAAGTGTCGTTCCCCCTGGTGTGTTTAATAGAGCTAATATACTATAGGGAAAGAATAGCGCTGGTGTTTCCTTTGTTCCGATGTTGAATAATACCATAGAGGCTTGCATAGAGGTAATTCTAAGACCAGAAGGTCCCGAAATAACGTGCTCAACTTTTTGGCTCAGCTCTGGTACTATTTTCGGTCCCAAGCTAATCAGAAGTACAGAACTGTCAAACTGCATAGTTTTTTCTCGCTTTGACAGTTGTGTCCCTATTAGCTGTAAGGAAAAGATGTTTCGACAGCGACGGCAGCGCTATTCTTTTTCTATAGTTTATTAGCTCTATTGTGTGTTGCGTTTATTTTTACTATAAATGCTATACATATGGTAGTAAGTAAATGCAGAAAATGGTTTGTGCATAGAGGTAACTCTAAGAGTAGAAGGTCCCGAAATAACGTGCTCAACTTTTTGTCTCAGTTCTGGTACTCTCTTCGGTCCCAAGCTAATCGATTCACCTCTCGAAACATAGGAAAAACCAATAACCCCTCATTTTATCTGTCAAACTTTCATAGCGAATCAAAACAAACATTGCGTAGTACTAGAATTTCAACTAGAATGGGGTACGTTAATCGTTTGCTTGGGACCAATAGGCTAGTCAAATCGTTAGTTTCGTATTGATTGTTGTTTGTGTTTCGGTTTGTGTCTACATTAGCATGACGCATGGTCTTTTCAAACATTAAAACGGTTACTATCAAGCAAAAATTATAACAACAGGTAATGTACTATTTAATTTTTGGCAAGTGTATGGTTATTTATACTGAAAGATAGTAGAATTGATAATAATTTTTGTAATTTTCACTATTTTATGCCGTTTATTGAATGAATTACTACACAATTATTCTCAGTGTAGGATTGAACGGCCGTGTATTCCATTTCTCCGGTTCGGATATTCGCTGAGGTACTAGCTTTCAGCCACAGTTGACCGGGATATTTTTGACAGCTCGCTCGCGTTCTGCCCCAAATCTGGTACGCTTGTCGAGTCACGACCGAAAATTCATTTCATTCATGAAATTTTTTGCTTGAACTTTCTCACGAAAGCACTTCCAAGTACATAGTTAGTGCCAGGCCAGGAGTGAACGCAAGCCCCAAGCTCCAAACCAGTCAGTTTATCGCCGTACACAACTGGAGAAAGAGAGCATCCATCGCGCATCGTCGCTCGCGAAGAACCCCGTCGTCAGGTCAGGTCAGCCAACAAGCCAGACTGGTTGGTAGTAGTTTGCGATGAGTAAAGAAAATTAGCAGAAAATACTATCAATAAGAAGAGCACGCGCAGTGTTTGAGCAGTCTAGTACGTCGGGGCAGTGTAGTAGTATTGGTTTAAGTCATTTCAGTCTGCTACTTGTCTGGTGAGAAGAATAGTACGCGTTTTTAAACTTCTTGAGAGCGCAGTATTTTATCAATCAGATTAATTTTTTTTTGTTCGTGGTCGCCATCTCGGCGCTGATGTGGTGAGCAAAGTGAAGAAGAGAGCACAAAGCAAAAAGGCAGAAAATCAGGAAAAAGCTTGCAGCAGCAGTAGTAGACGGACGGCGACGGTGACGAACGGACGGTCGAACCGACGAAAGTGTGTGTAAAAGTGAGACAAGGAGGCAGGAAAAAAAATCGAACTGAAGCAAGGTGCGTTTCGCGTTTTTTCGAGTCTCGGGTCGCGGCGAATCGCGCTGTTCGAGAAATTCTCATCCACCAACGACGGTCGGTGTGTGTAGGTGAGTGGTGAATGTCGATGTGCTCGTAATATTTCCGGGAGGAGCAACCAGCAGCAGAAGAAGCACGACTCAATCTCGCGTATGTAGTGTTTCGAAAAAGTTTCGACGTAATTATCGACGGTAAAACCGGAATACAGTTTGTGCAAAATATCTACACGGGTTGTGAAAAGTATGGATTCGCATTCGGATCCACAGGAACGAGGACGACGACGATCCTACGGCAGTGACGACAGCAGCAGCAGCAGCACCACCAAAATGGACTCCACCTTCGTCATTGTAGTGGAAGACGAGCGCTGCTGCTAGCCAGCGAGCACCCATCATCAGCAGCAGCAAGCAGCAGTTTCTTTCTCCAAAGGGGAAATCCAAGCGAAATTTTTATCGAGCAAAATTAGTGGAACCAGTTTTAGAGAAGAATCATCGGGAAGAAGTATTCCAGGCGAAAAGTAGTGGTAATTTTATGCTGGTGTTTTGCAATAATCATCTACGAGAAGGCTGGGCCCAGGTGATTCAATTTTTCGCTGCCAAGTTGTCGGGTTGGGAAAGAGTCCCGTCGCAGGCGACGGCGACAGCGGACGACGTCTTCGTGGCGGCCATGTTTTTTCACTCATTGTGGTGGATTCTCGGTCGGGTCTGGAATGGGCTTTTATTGAAGGGGGTGTGTGTGTTTTGCGGAAGGGTGCAAGGGGCTGGGGGGGTTTGTGGTATGGATGCGGGAAACGAGAAAAGAGAGAAAGAGCAGCGCGTGGGAGAGGAATGAACATTGAGCAAAAGCAGCCGAAGAAAGTGGGAAGAGAGAGGGACAGATGACAGCGAGTTTGCTGCTGTGGTGGTGTGTGTGTGAGGGACTGATTTTGGTCAGAATTATGCACTGGAGTAAAAGTGGGCGTTGAATATTTAATTGTTTTTTTGTTTTAGTTTCAATATCTTTTGATCGTACAATGTTGGAACATTCCTCTATCTGATGGTGTCGTTATTGTGTGTGAGCTTTTATTCGCGGGAAATCGACGGCTTTAGCCAGTGTTGTTGTTTAAAAACGCAATTCCGCTACTTTGAAATGTTGCAACCGATTTCATGGACTTATAGACTTTTGAGTCATTTAACAACAGTAAAAGGATTTATTCAGCAAGTTTCGCTTCACTAATTAAGTTCATACAGCCACGGATTTCACGATTTTTGTGAATTTGTTACATGATGTCGCGAAAATCGATGATGAGCTATCACAAAATTTGCAGAATTCATTGTTTATGACAATTTTTAGGAATAATTATCACGATTTTCTATTCTCGATTTATCGTGTATTACGATGCATAGAGCAGTGATGCCAACATTCCAGTTTAAACTGGATTCTTAAAATTCTGAAACGAATTTCTAGAGAATTTGAGGGAATTTCTAAGCAAAAGTGTAGAGTAATTTAAAGGAGAAGACTTACAAACTAAGATTATTTCACTGAAATCTGTAAAGCAGTTCGGTGATTGTTCACAGATTTCCTGTATTTTTTCATCTAATATCTGTGAAAAATCACCGAACTGTTTACCGAACTTTCAGCTGTTGAGATTTCGGTAAAATTTTACTGATTTCGGTAAAATAATCTAGTCCAGGATTATTCGGAACAAAATTGCAAGACAATTCTGAAGTGAATTGTTTGAGAATATAAAGAGAATTTAAAGCGATTTTTGAGTAGAATTATAGGAGAAATTTTCAGTGAATTTCTAGAAATAGCTTTAAAATTTGAAGAAAATCTAATTTCATGTTTTTTTTTTATGGATCTGCAGTGAATTTGTTTAGGGACTCAATCTCAGTCTTAATTTAGAAGAATTCTGAAATAAACACTGGGATAAGATTCAAAAGTAAATGTTTGAGAATTTGCTAATACAATCCTGTAAAGATTTTCGATTCAATTTTCAGGGAAGTTAAAATATAGACCAATTTTGAAGCATTCGAACATAGGTCGAAATTCAACTCAGTAAAAATGCTGTAATCTTAGTAATGACTCATTTAACCTAGTGATCCTTTTGGGTTTATGGCTAATTTTAATGTGTATCGCACAACTGGAAACATTTCCAAAAATACGGGCAAACACAGGGAAAAAACCGGAAAATTCAGTGGCATCGCCTTAACCTCATTCTACCTGTGCACCAACTCTCAAAACAATTATCAAAATATTGCTTGCAATGTATAGATATCGAGTTAACTAGAAGATTAAGTGTATTTTTCAACCGATTCGAGTATGAATATGGCATAAAATCTGTTTTTGAAAGTTGGTGCACAGGTTAAAAGTGAGGTTACGCGACGCCACTGGGAAAATTGTTAATCTGTATTCACTGATCACCATGAGATCTAGAAACTTTTCAAAATTCCAAAATCGCAGCATTATAAGAATGCAGTCTCAGCCGTTTAATTTATTTCAAGTTCAAAATTTCACTCCAATTGGGAAAACCCAATCCTTTTTCTGTGTCGAATTGTGGAAAAAATGAATAATTCTAGCCATTCCCTGAAAAATACTTATGAAAAAATCACTTGGGAGTTCTCCTCAGCATGCTATCAGAATTCGTCTGAAATCCCCATGGATTTTCCATAGGAATTTCTTTTTAGTTCTGCTCAGAATTCTTTGAAATGCTCCTCATAATTTCATTGGAAATCTCTTATAAATTTTCTAAAAATTATTCAGAATTTAGAATTAAGTTTTCTTGGAATTTTCTTAAAAATTTCTTCGAAACTCTTTTGAAATTTTCAGTATTATTTTTCTTTAAAATACTTACACGGCGAATGAGAACGACTCAAATTTGAGTTTAGTTCACTCATAATCGCCAAAAGTGCAGGAACTCAGCGATGAGTAGATTTGTCTCACGGTTTCCTGTGGAAAACCTAAAAAATCTGCCGGAAAATGAGGAAATTGACGAAAATTTTATTCAGTCTCGGAGTAGTACCAATAGACTGCCCGCATAAACAATAACCATAAGAAGCGCCTAACCACCAATTCGAGATATCATCCCAATTTTATGTGGTGTGGTCGTACCATCTATGATATCGTTAGAGTATGGTACCCGTTTATTAGGGTGAGTGAATCCAATCTTTACTTTTCTCAAATTCGAGAATTGTTACCTGGAAAAACCTGGGAAAACATGAGGCAAATTTACTCATCGCTGAGTCTCTGCACTTTATGTGATTTATGAGTCGACTAAACTCAAATTTGGGTTGTTGTCATTCGCCAATCAGGCTAAGGCCTTGTTGTCCTCTGCTGTTCGAAGAAGTCGTCTCCACTCTACTCGATCTATGGCCACACTTCGCCAGCCTCGTAGTCTGCGAAGGGTCCGCAGGTCGCCTTCCACCTGGTCGATCCACCTTGCCCGCTGTGCGCCTCTTCTTCTTGTTCCTGTTGGGTCGCTTTCTAGAACCATTTTTACTGGGTCGTCGTGCGGCATTCTTACGACGTGCCCAGCCCACCGTAGTCGCCCAATTTTTGCAATGTAGACGATGGATGGTTCTCCCAGCAGCTGATGCAATTCGTGGTTCATTCGCCTCCTCCACGTTCGGTCATCCATCTGCCTTCCACCGTAGATGGTACGCAACATCTTCCGTTCGAAAACACCAAGGGTGCGTTGGTCCTCCACGAGCATAGTCCACGTCTCGTGGCCGTAGAGGACCACCGGTCTAATCAGCATCTTGTAGATAGTCAACTTCGTGCGGCGGCGAATTTTATTCCACCGGAGCGTCCTCCGGAGTCCAAAGTAGGCACGATTTCCTGCCATAATGTGTCTTTGAATTTCTCTGCTGGTATCATTTTCGGCGGTCACCAGTGAGCTCAAATACACGAACTCGTCGACCACCTCGATTTCGTCACCGTCAATCTGAACTCGGGGTGGAAGGCTAACATTGTCTTCCCGAGAACCTTTTCCTCTCATGTATTTTGTCTTTGATGCGTTGATGGCAAGTCCAATCCGCCTAGCTTCAGTCTGATGTAGGTTTCTGCCATCGTCTCTACGTTCCGTGCCACGATGTCGATGTTATCATGTCTTCCTGAAGATCGTACCACTAGTGTCTTTCCCAGCTCTTCTGATCACACCTTCTAACGAGAGTCCGTCACCTCAAAGGGACTCGAGAATGTCCCCGATACTCGAACAACGCACATCACTCAATCCATCATCGCCTTGACCAATCAAATCAGTGCATAATCTGCCATAGCTGATCTCGATCGATTGTGTCGTGTGCGGATTTGAAATCGATGAACAAATGATGTGTGGGCACGTTGTATTCGCGGTATTTCTGCAGAACCTGCCGAATAGCGAAAATTTGGTCCATGGTAGCGCGGGCACCCATGAATCCTGCCTGCTATTGCCCCACGAACTCTCTTACAAATGGTGACAGGCGGTGGCAAAGAATTTGGGAGAGTACCTTGTAGGCGGCGCTCAGCAGTGTGATCGCGCGGTAGTTGCAGCAATCCAACTTGTTGCCCTTTTTTGTAGATTGGCCGACACCTTCCATCCCCTCCTTCGGTAATCTCTCCTCCCATATCTTGGCAATTATCACTGCTTCACCACTATATATTAATAGTTCACTTGGTAGTTGATCTACACCATTTGCTTTGTTGTTCTTCAGCCGACCGATATCCTCCTCAACTTCTTGAAGATCAGGGCCCGGTAGCCTGTCGTCTTCTGTGCGTGATCCAAGGTTGAGGTGATCGTCATAGTACTGCCTCCACTTCTCAATCACCTCACACTCGTTCGTGAGAAGATTGCCGTCCAAGTCCTTGCACATATCGGCTTGCGGCACGTAGCCTTTGCGCGAACTATTTAGCTTCTCGTAGAACTTCCACGCTGTACAGATTTTCCAATCGCATCGCGATCTCGGTCTTTGTCTGTTCCGCGCTTGGCTGTATCGCTCCACATTCAATCTCATGCAGTGCTGCTGCATTCTCATCCGTGCTGCAATCTTCTCCTCTACTAACCGTCAAACCAGTCATTTCTTCGGTCCGGGATCGCAGTACCTAAAGCCGCTGCAGCAGAACTACCTATGACGGATCGAATGTCCCTCCAGTCATCTTCAAGGGTAGCTGCGCCAAGCTGCTCTTCCGTGGGTACTGCAGCTTCAAGCTGCTGCACATAATCCTGGGCAACTCCGGCGTCCCGTAATTGCTCAATGTTGGGTCACAGCGTTCGACTTCGACGGGTGTTATGAACCGTTGAGAGTTTTGAGCGCATGCATACTGCAACTAGGTAGAGGTCCGAATCTATGTTCGCACTGCGGCACGTGCGGACGTTGATAATGTCGGAGAAGAATTTCCCGTCGATTAGAACGTGATCGATTTGGTTTTCTGTGTGTTGGTCAGGTGTTTTTAGATTGAATTTTAATCTCTTTTGGTTATAATAGTAAAATTTAATACTGAAAAGATAACGTCAACGCACAACCTTTAGATTCAAATTGTCGCTTTTCCTCCAGTGTGGAATCAGCACTTTCGGTGAGAGAGTCTTCTTGAGTGCTCGCGTGTGTGTGTCCGTGTTTGTGAGAGCGCCTGTTCATTCTCCCTCTCTCATTTTCACCCTTTATCGTGCCCCGACCAGATAGTCTCAGTCAGCAGTGTTCTGTCTAGTTAGTCGTTCAGTCGCAGGCCGTATAGTGAGCGAAGAAGAAAAAAAATCACCCAGAAGGTTCAGAACCCCCCATTGACCACAACAGCCGCACAGGACCACAGACAAACAATCTAGCAGAGAAAGGAGAAGCAACTCTCATCCGTACTTGAAATAATGGTGTGTTTAATTTGCTGTATGTTTACGCGTGTATGATGAAGAACATGTCAGATCCTCAGTCTAGCAGCAGTGAACAATCATCATCGTCGTCATGGGAGTGAGGCGCGACAGAGACGGGTAGAAAGAGCGAAACGGAACGATACGAACGGAGGGCGAATGTGTGTATATCGAAGAAGTATAGAGGAAACAGTGTGATGTGAAGCAGCAGCACCAGTAGCTGGCAGCAGCGTCACTTCTCGGGGTGAATTTCGAGTTGGAAAATGGACGATCCGGGGCGAAGAAGAAAGTGCCGTCGTCGTTGAATAATGATCGCGCAAAAGTGGTGTAAAATTTTCCGTTGAACGTGCGAATCCGAAAGGTGACATGGGTCATTTTTTTATTCGCTATTTGCCACTACAGTGCTTGAACAAATCGAAACGAAACGACAACGAACAATGACGATGGAAGTGATCGAAATCGCGACGGAATGAAATCGCCAGCGACACGACGGTCGGACGCAAAAAGAAGAAAAAGGAAAAATCGAAATCGAAGCACCTTCAGAAAAAGGGAGACGGCCGAAGAAGGCGAAACGGTGAGGAAACTCCGGCTGAACTAGCTCGGCTTGTGCATGGGGTAGGAGTTTCGTGTAGAAAATTCATTCGGATCGACGGAAATTCTCGGCTGGAAAAAATCGCCCCGTTACGAATAACAGCAAAATTCGTTCCGAGGGTAGTCGGATTACCATACGTATCGTTTTTTTTTTCGTCGCTGCTCTCTATGTTCATCCCCCTCCCTCGCCCGTGAGTGAATCAGATATGAAGCAACTTCTTTTTTTCGCGTAATCGCGAATGATAATTTCCTCGCTTGCGCCCCTGCATACGTACATTTATTTTTTTCAGATTCTTCTTTTTCGCTTCTCCCTTGCCTGGTTTTTCATCCTGACGGTCAGCCGTCGCCCCAGCGAGCCAGCCAGCACCAGGTCTTCTTGTTGGCTGCGATTTCGTTGTTTTCCAATAATATTGTTTGCTGATTTTCTCATCGGACGTCGATGGAGACTACGACTACCACCACATCGCCAGCGTTCGCCTTTTTGGGTGGGCAGCGATGCCAAATTTGCATTCCCTTTGTGGTGGCTCGATGCACCCGTTTCAAGTATTGCTCGGTTTAGTGTTGACTGTGGTCGGAGGTAGAAACTGAATCGGAGCTAATAGTCGCTTTTCAATTTCAGAATGTGAAAGGCGGTTCATGAAAATGTTACATTTGTTTTGGATAATGCAATGGAAATCCTGGGCACCGTGGGAAGCAGAAAGTTCTCTCACCTGAACGGGTGTCGAAAGAGAGCACCAATACCGAAGAGGCAGACAAAAGTCAAGTTACACAAACTTTATAGTGAAGAGTGGAAATGCGCTGTCAAGGACTATAATGTCAGTCGGAATGAGCAAGAAGGAATGTTGGTTAGAATATTTAATGGCAGTGATGATGATGACGATGACGTTGGAATGGAGAGCTGCAGCCATTTAAATACAGATGCAGAAGTTCTAACTCAGTGTTGCTTCACAATGGGTGCCGTGAACTCACAACGACCAGTGGAAGGCAAGACAATGACGGCGATGGGATTGCATTAATACCAGGGAAAAAGTCACACGACACGAAGATTTCGATGGTTGGTGCCGAACCACTACACTGGTGCTAGGAAGAGAACTACTGTGTTTGTGTGTTTTGATTTGGATTGGTGGAAGAGCGGAGTCAGCGATACAATTGTGTACAGTGAAGTGACGATTTAACTAATCAGATGGATAGTGGGAATTTCAGAAGATTAACAGACTATGAGGCAGATGACTATCGTTGATCGGATGAGGCTGTATTATTTATGGAAGTACAACTGAACTCCTACAAACGGAACCAGCAAATGGTTGCTCCGATCCGTGTTTACGAGCAACATCCATGTTTGTGGGACTTTACCAATTCCGACTACAAAATAAATCAAAAACGGATTAGTGCTTTAAAAATGATTGCATGTGATATGGAAATCCCATCGATCGAAGAGGTGAGGAAGAAAATTAAATCAATGCGGGATACTTAATCAGCGAACAATTAACCGGACACGAGGCGAACTGATCAACAGAAAATCCTCTTTTGACTTCGTTTGCATCATGAACATTCTCAGCACCCGCTCACCAGCGTATTAGCATAATGTCAACACTTATTATCATGCTGGTGAGCGTTTTTGCTAGCAGCGAGCTCATTAGCGCTAGTGAACTAGCCTAAGTGTAAACACCCCATAAAACAAAGTAAAGATCACCACGACGATAAATCAGGATACAGATACAAGGGATTTCGCTGTATGGTGATAAGCTATGACGAGTACATTGCGAAAAACAGAGGTAGAAAGCTCGCAAGGTGATCGCTGACCGTTGGGGAGACACTGTGATCGTAACGTAAATAACATCTGATCCTGATGGGTCGTTGACACGTTACTCAATGACGGATAGAAGTTTGCCTATTATTAAGATCAATGCTAATAGAAAGTATCAGCATCAGCAAAAGCAAACAAAACCTAAAAAGCGATAGAAACGCTACACTAAGTCGTCGTTTGATAAAATCAAATCGGTAAATCTCCGTTGCACAATGCTGATTGTGTTATTGATCTTGTCGAATACTGCCGATAAATTGATCTAGTTCCATCAGGTTCCCTGCCAGCTTTCTCATGAACTGGGTTCATGTGTGCATGTTTCTAGCTGGTTGGAGATAGACTCCTATCTAGGAAGACAATTGGAAACGGGAACCTGGAGGTTCCAATAAAAATAAGGATGGAATTCCACATTGTCGATGTTGGGACAAGTCTGTATGCAGTCGTTCCGTCGATCAGAATTATGAAAATTAATTCTCACTGGATGCAGCTAGATAAAAAAAGATCCTGGGATCTAGTTAGAACACGGCGTAGAAAAGTAAGAGGCTGCATCCAAGACATGACCGCAAATTTGACGTAGTGTTACGAAAGCTAGTCTTGATGTCAAAGCAACAAACTTTTACCAACAACAGGGCGAATTTGATGAAGATTCCGAATCAGTTGTAAAATACTATTGATATGCTCTCTAAAGGAGTCGATAAGCAAGAATGCCTATATTATGCCAAAGAGGCATACTACCAATTGCAGTTCAAGTTGACGTGTGCTAGCGTTCGGACGTACGTTGGTGTCTCTGCTTGAGTGTCGTTTGTTTAACCGGAGTGCTTCATTGTTTTGGAATTATTTGTGGTCAGCGTATGTTCCTACAAGCCTGGACCGTGGAGAGTGATTGGGATTCAAATTCCGCGATTGTTGATTGCATTAGATATTAATTTAGTTGCGATTTTGAGCGCTTATCGGCGTGGCTCGGCCATGGAAGCGGCGTGCTTAAGAAAGTCATTTACGATATTGTCAAACATTTCCGAAATAATTTGTAGTTCTGTGTCAAAATTCCATTGAAACTTCAATTCCGTTGAAAAGATTCTAAATATTTTAATCAAAACTCCCCTCGGGAATCCCAGTATTCTAGAATAGGCTGGACTAGACTAGAAAATTCTCTTCAGGAATCCTGCTGAGTCTATTTCTTTTGAAATCATCCTCAAAACACCCTATAAATCTTGTAATAATTATCTCTTAATTATCGCCGAAAATTCTCTTGGAATTATTATTAAAATTCACTTGCTAACCTGCTCATCACCCCCATAAAATTGTACTCAGAATCACCTGGAAATTCTACTTGATATTCTTTTCACAACTCCCATGGAATTATTTTAAGAATTATCTAAGAAGTCAATTCAGAGCGTTCATTCTTCTCCCCATACATTTCATGGGTTCATCTCCAGACATTATTTCAGAATTATCTTGGAATTCTTATCAGAACTCCCTTGTGAACCAGAATTTAGTTGTAATTCTTCTCAGCATTTCTCTTGGATTAACACTTTGATGCCTTTTAAATGCTCCTAAAATATCCATTCTCCTCTATTTAACAAATTAAAAAATGCATAGTCAAATGCAAAGCTTTCGAATCCCATTTTTAAAAAGATTTCTGGTAATTCAGACGTGCAAACAATTTCTTACTCCGAGATATCCAACAATTTTCCCTAGATCTCATTTGTATGAAGTTGAAAAAATCTTAAATAATTTCCTACAATCACTCCACATTTGAGGATCACTTCCAGTTGTCTTACGCGCTGAACTTATTATTAGTCGACCCATAATTGTGGGATGACTGTAAAACGGATGTGTCATCGGATCAATTCATCAAAAAGATTAACCCGTTCTGCTCGGACCGTCTCTGATTAGGGGTGCCCCATTTGTGATGTCTGTGTTAGGGAACTCCTTCTGGTAGCACTCTCGTTCGCCAATCTAATACCCCTTTTTTCCTCGTTCTCTCTCCCCCTTCCAGCCGTAGCACACCGAGCGAACCGATTGTAAGCGTGCGCGAGGCACAGCCGCAGCAAAGCTGCCACCATTAGTAGCAGCCGCAGTGGTCCCCGCAGTCGCATTCAGGACGACTGTCTCGGCAGCAATACCATCAGCCCTCGCGATAGCATCGTCCAGAAGGGTCAGTGCCGTCGGTGGCGGTGGCGCTGGAGGCGGAGGAGCAGCAAGGGGACACGTTGTAAGGAGCAGCGCTAGGAAGAGGAGAGTGCTCCTGCGTGCCAAGGGGGCCGCACAGCTCCGATCGACGCGCACTGGCCCGGATACGCGATCGGCAATTCTCAGCAGCAGACGACGCAGACGGCGACGGCGTCAAAGTGGACGATTGCAACAGCAGGTGACATCCGCTGCTGGTAATAGTAGTAGCGTTAACACTAGCACTAGCACCTGCAGCAGCATTAGCAACAACAGCAGCCAAAATACTCCCATCAGCGTAGCTCTTGCAACGAAGATGGTCGTGGCATCTACCAGCCATGGGAGTGGTACCTCGAATTCGACGATTGCGGCGCAATTGCGCAACTCGCAGCCGAAGCTGCACCAGGTCGCTGCCACTGGAACCGGGATGACACCGAAGGAACTATCCGATAACGATGACCTCGCGACCGGCCTGGTGCTGGATCCAATCCTGGGCTTTCAGACGCACAAGATGAACCTCAAGTATCGGCCGCTGCGGGTCAATACCGACCCGATCAAGGACATCCTGGAGGAGTTTATCCGAACGCAGAACTACGCCAAATGCTACCACCAGCTGATGAAGGGCAACTGGATTCCGCGGGCGGTGCTGAACAAGAGCAAGCTGGCCCAGAAGCGACTGGAAGCGCACGTAAGTTGATCTACTTTTTTTTTCGGGATGCTCGAAAACAAATTGATTTCTTCTTTATTTCTCATTTGTAGATCTACCGCTACCTTCGCGTGTTCGATCGGAATGCGGGATTCGTGATAGAGGCATGCTACCGGTACTCGCTGGAGGGACAGAAAGGCGCCAAGATATGCTCCACCAAAAAGTGGTTGAAGAACGAAAAGATCGAGTGTCTGGTGGGCTGTATTGCGGAGCTTACGGAGAAGGAGGAAGAAGCGCTGCTCCAGCCGGGAAGGAACGACTTCTCGGTGATGTACAGCTGCCGGAAGAATTGCGCCCAGCTGTGGCTCGGGCCGGCCGCCTACATCAACCACGACTGTCGAGCGAACTGCAAATTCGTGGCGACGGGTCGGGACACGGCTTGCGTCAAAGTTCTGCGGGACATTGAGATAGGCGAGGAGATCACCTGCTTCTATGGGGAGGATTTCTTTGGCGATAACAATCGGTACTGCGAGTGCGAAACCTGCGAACGACGCGGGACGGGTGCGTTCGCCAAGGATAAGAACGGTGAAGAGCAGAGCCCGAATGGAGTCCGGTATCGGCTCAGAGAAACCGACAACCGGTTGAACCGGTTAAAGAGCAAAAACAATGCCCTGGAACATTGCAAAACCAGCATCGGCAAGAGTGAACCTCCGTCCGCGTTGGCTGCCCTTAGCATGAAGGAGCTGCGCGAGAAGGGAATGACCAAGTACGATGCGGAGATGCTCTTGGCACAGCAAAAGCCATCCTTCGAAGCAGGTCACACCGTGCAACCGGCTCCGGAGGTGGATCTAAGCAGTAGTTCAGCACCGGCCGAACCACCCGACGAGAAGAAAGGCAAACCCAAACAGACACCGGATGTGACGGAGAAGATGGCGACTCGCTCTTCACGGCGATTTCAGACCCCAACCGAAGAGAAGAAGCCTCACCCGGCAGCTACGGCCAGTCAACCGGAGGCAACCACGACGGAAGAGGCAGCAGCCACGCCGGTTCCACTGAAGGCCACCCGAAGCACCCGACCCCCGCGGGAGAACGGCCGCCGGAGGTACAGCAGCAACAGCAGTCTCAATACGGACATTTCCAGTGTCCTCTCGTCGACCTCGTCGTTCGTGACGGCCAAATCTTCGGTCCCGACGGCTGCCGAACGGAAGATGATGCCCCGCTCGTTGAAGATGCCTTCCGCTGGAGACGAGGATGTCATCGTGATCGACGACGACCACAACAGCAATCACTCTTTCGCATCCAAGAGCAGCTGCAGTGGCATTTCGTCTCTGTCGAAGGATCATCATCAACCGCCAAAGAACAACCACAGCAGCAGCAGCATCAACGACAGCAACGTCTATGTGTTCAATGATCTCCTTGAAAGTACTAATCTAAATGGTTACACGCTAAGAAATCACCACCTTCACCATCATCAACCGCAGCAGCACCAGCAGCAGCAGCCGGAGGGAGAACGACAGGATCCGAGTTCGTTTTCAATCGGCGATCAAAAGGAACCGCTGGAGCCGGAGGTGGCCGAACGTCCACCATCCGTGAAGCGCCGTTTAGTTGGCACAGCAAGGCGCTCTCCGGCCGAAAACATCAGTCCTCGCGTGACCCGGCGGAAGCACAGGCTGCTCGGAATGCAGTTAGTGTCCACTGCCAGTCGATTCGAAGAGGCCCGGAAAAGCAATCTAGCAACTGTAACAGCAACAACAACAACTACAACTACTACTACACTGCCAGCTGAAACGGAAAAGCCACAATCCACCCCAACGAAGACGACGACGACGACGACGACGACGGAGAGGGCAGAGACTGTCACGGATCTCACATCGGGAAGCAGCAGCGGCGGCAGCAACAGCGATAGTTCCAACCGGGGCAACCGCCGAAAGCAGAAGCTCCAGACCCGGATCATGCAGGTGGACGAGCTGGTGGCGCTGCAGCGGCAGGCAGCCGAACTAGAGCGCATTGGGCGGGCCTCGCTCGGTCGTGGTGTCCCCCGGCGGTTAGTGCTGGATGACGCGGACCGTCCCGGGAACGCGAATGAGGACGATGTGATCCTGTCGAAAGTAACCAATTGTGATGATACTAATGATAAGTTGTTAAGAAGTAGAAACCGGCATGAGGATGTTATCGTTCTGAGCAGCGGTACCGGCAGCAGTGGAAGCAGTAGCGGTAGTGAGAGTAATAGTGGTAAATGTAGTGGTAGGATTGATAATAGTAGCACTAGTGTTAGTAATGGTAGCAGTGATCGTGTGGGGAACGAGGGTGAACAGCTTCTTGCCTCGAAGACGGTGATCGGTTCGCGGAAGCGAAAGGTGTCGAAAAGTGTCAGCGAATCGGAGAGCAGCTCCAGCTGGGAGAACAAGGTTCCGGTGGAACAGCGTGCCGGTGGTGAGTCCTGTTTGAGCATCATTCCTAACCCGGAAGTACTGCTCAAGACTCCGGAACGACGGTTGAAGCTGACGCTTCGCATGAAACGTAGTCCGGTGATCGACGAGATTATTGAATCAGGTACTAGTTTGAGCGAGGATACTTGCAGCACCACCACCTACAAGCCAGAGTATGAGATTTTGCGGGTGGAAGGAATCGCCGATGAGAGCGAGAAAGACGAAGCAGAGGAGGACGATGAGGAAGATGATGACGATGGTGAAGTGGACGACGATTTGACGTACAGTAGCAGTTGCAGTAGTAGGTTATCGCAGAAGCGCAAGAAGCGCCACAAATCGAAGGAAGCGCGAAGGCACCGGAGGCGTGTGAAACGTGAACTCCGTCGTCACAATCATCATCATCATCATCACCATCATCTTCAGCAGCAGCAGCAGCAGCAACAGCAACATCAGCAAGCGAATAACCAGCCTCAGCACCATTCGGTCATTCTGCAACCGTCGGCACTGGGGCCGGTGACAGCGGCCGTTACAGCTGCTGCTGCTGCTGCGGCTAATCAGACCCCTCCCAAGCGATCGCCGATTGCATTTCCAGCGCCCACCAAGCGGCTGCGACTGATCTTCGGCAACGAAACTCGTACAATCGACATTCCACCGACAGCAAAGATATCCGCTTCGTCGTCTCCTTCCACGCCGAGCTCGTCACTGCCATTGTCGCCGGTGGTCAGTTTAACGCCAAATAGTCAAAGTTCCACTCCCAGCAGTGCAGGCGGCGGTGGCACTTCCGGAATAATCAACAACACGCCGGGCGTGATTGTTAGCCCTACGCGGTCGCTCGGGACTCAGTTTCCCGCGTTCAACGGGTACTCCATGAGTACCTTCTCCAGATCTCCACAAACGCTGCAGCAATCCCAACAGCAGTCCCAACTCCTCTTCACCAACGCTTTGAATCCTCTCTCGCTCCTGCAGAGCAACCATGTTTCCCAACAGTTCCAGCACCACTCCCATCCCCACCATCATCACAATCTGTTCCAATTCCAACCGCAGTCCACTCCGCTGTCGCTTCTTCCGCAGACGGATTCATTGCAACAGCAGCAGCAGCAGCCACCTCAGCAGCACAATGTCATACAGCACACGGCACAGCTGCAACTGCAACAGCAGCAGCATCAGCAGCTACAGCAACAACAACCCCAGCAAGTAGCCACAACTATTCACCTGGCGGCGGCTGCTGCCGCTGCTGCGTCGATGAACAATCACCACAACCTTCACCAGCAGCACCATCATCGGTTCGGTGAGTTGAGTATGAACAATCACCACCTTCACCACAACAACCACCATCATCATTTGACGGCAGCGGCGGCGGCCGTGTCCAGCAGCAGTGGCAGTACTCCGACCAAGTGCAGCCCGTACCAGCACCAGCTGACGGCGTTGACCACGTCGCAACCGGGCGTGGCCACGTTCAACTGACCCCTGGGGATGGGCAGTGCGCAGCGGTAGGCGGAGGAGACGGCGAAGTTGACCCGGTGGCTTGTGGGCGAACAGGTGGAACGGGGCAGATAGAGGACGGACAGGGTGGGGGGGCGATCGGTGGAACACGGTGTAGGTCGAATGTAGGGTTTTTTTCTGAAGGGATTACTCCTTATATGGGACAGAAAGTGTTTTCGATCATCGAACCGCTTTGGTCAGTTCGTTAGCTTGGGAAAATATTTGATGCAAGGTTCCACGAGTGTGGTCTTGGAAATAAGGATAGTAAACATGGCTGGATTTTCATGAGTAGCATGAGAGTGGCGTCCACCGAGAAGGATCTCCAGCTGACGAAAATTACATTTCCCGGAACTATTGTTCAAGCTAACAGGGAAAGTTTAGCACTGAGCTCTCCTGGAATTCGTTTTGGAATTCACTGCGTTTAAGCTCAAGAGCGGATAGACCAGCTGAGCTTCACGAATCGAGGGTAGTCTAGACTACTCCGCAAAAGAAAACTTTAACTATCAGATGCTCCAACCTTTATAAATGCAATTAGGCAAGAAGTTCTTGATTTGACTTTGTGTAGTCCAATAATCTCAGACAAAATCAAAAATTGGCATATGTCAGACGAAATATCTTTGTCTGATCACAAGCAAATATTATTTGAATATGAGGCTGGTCAACAGCTCACACAAACTTTTAGAGATCTTAGAAAAACAGACTGGGAGCTATATAATTCAGAGCTAGTGGCAGGAAGAGACACGATAGCAATTAGCTTAAACACTTGTGTAGAACTTGATAATAATTCTAAACAACTTTCAAACTTGATCCAACATGCCTTTTATGATAGTTGCATCGAAAAGGAACGCGCTACAAACAGGGATGTACCTTGGTGGAACAACAGGCTACAGAAACTTCGTAAAAAAGCCCGGAAGCTTTTCAATAGGGCTAAACGAACACAACAGTGGGAACAATATAAGGAATCCCTCACCGCTTATAATCAGGAAATACGGAGATCAAAGAGGATACACTGGAGGCATACATGTGAGAACATTGAAAAATACTCCAAATGAAACGTTAGAGTTGATGATGAGAACGCATTTTCCAGGTTCTATTATTAATTCGAACGAAGACCAAAACGCAACGGCAACAGCTATTGGTATCGATGAAACCAGGACGGATATTCATGAAATATTGAATGAAACGACTGAGTTAGACAGAATAAGAGCTGATGCTTGCACTTTGGCCAACAAAATCTTTACTGAAAAAAAAAAAAATTGAATGGGCGATTGACTCCTTTGAACCTTTCAAGTCACCAGGTAGGGATGGAATTTTTCCTGTGCTATTATAGAAGGGAAAAGCGGTTTTAATGCCTATTCTAACAAAGATATTTTGAGCAAGCTTAATATTAAGCTATATACCGGCCGTGTGGCGATAAGTGCGGGTTTATTTTTATCGATAATTCATCTCACGATTCCATGACTACAGCTATGATGAAACGTGGTTTCGATCAAAGCATTGTAAATTGGATCAATGAAATGTTATCAAAAAGAGAAATATCAGCAAACTTTGGAAGCTCACTCATCAGTGTAAGAGCAACCAAAGGATGTCCGCAAGGAGGCGTGTTATCACCTCTATTGTGGTCGTTAAGGGTTGATGATCTTCTCAAAAATGTAATAGCCCAAGGCTTCGAAATAATTGGCTTCGCAGATGATATAGTCAAATCTGTACATGGCAAATATGATTGTATTATCGCTAACAGATTGCTTTAAATTTTGTCTCATCGTGGTGTGATAGGGAAGGATTAAACATAAATCCTTCTAAAACTACTATTGTGCCATTTACGCGAAGGAAGAAATTTTCATTAGACAACATAAGATTGAAAGGCACTCTTTTCACTGCGATTTGGAAACTGTATCATGCTGTCAAATATCTTGGAGTAATCCTTGATAGTAAACTTGATTGGAATATGCATCTAGAGCAGACAATAAACAAAGCTACTTATGCTCTATGGATATGCAAAAGAACATACGGTAAACAGTGAGGACTGAAACCGAAAATGATCAATTGGGTTTACTCGGCAATTGTGAAACCCAAGATTACTTATGGTGCATTGTAAAGAGAGTGTTGCTCAGAGAAAGTTAGAAAAACTCCAAAGGTTAGCAACTGTCTCAATAACAGGTGCAATGAGAAGTACACCATCGAAGGCATTGGATGCTTTGCTTAATATGCTACCATTGCATCAACTTGTACAATTAGAAGCCGAAAAGTGTGCTCTAAGGATTACAAGGTCAGTGAAACCCTTTGAAGGAGACCTTAGAGGACATCTTAGGATTCTGAAAACTGTTAGTATCAACTCTCTAGAAAAGAACAACGAAGACTAGATGGAGAAAAGATACAATTTCAATCGACTTTTTCAAGTAGTTGGCCCTGGCAATTTGGTGGCCCGGTTCTTCGTCCAGGATCGATTGTGTTTTATACAGATGGTTCAAGATTGAACAATCAAGTGGGAGCAGGAGTAACTGGCCCAGGGATAGAAATATCGGTTTCTATGGGCAGATGGCCAACTGTGTTCCAAGCTGAAATCCAAGCAATTTTAGAGTGTTCCATTATATTAGTTCAAATATATGCGTCATGTCCGACAGTCAAGCTGCTCTAAATGCTTTAAAGTCGGCGACATGTACATCAAAACTTGTCTGGGAGTGTGTTCAATCACTTCAATGCGGGATTGAGGGAAATGAAAGAGCTGATGCACTAGCAAGACTCGGATCTTCTCATAAGTTCTTCGGACTAGAGCCCTTTTGTGGCTTATCGGCTGCATCGCTTAGAATGGAGCTAAAAGCGTGGGAATCTTCAAAAGTGAAGGAAAACTGGAAGAACACTTTCATTGCTAGGCAGTCGAAGCGATTCATTAATTTAAACATTTCTGTGACCCACAAAATCCTGGAACTGTCTAAGAAAGATCTTATAACAGGTCATTGTCCGAGCCGTTATCAGTTTAAGCTGATTGGAAAACTTTAAGATGATGATGATGTATGCTTCTGTGGCATAGAACTGGAAGATTCGGAACATTTGCTATGCCACTGTCCGGCAATTTTCAATAAAAGGCGTAAGTTCTTCGACAAGGGGCTGATAGAACCCTTTGGCATTTGGAGAACAACTCCAAGTACGGCAGTGCACTTTGTTCGAAGTGCTATTAGTCAAACGATGGTGATTACTCCTAATAATAGTGATACGGCATCTTGATATAGCTAAAGAAAAAAAAAATGGGGAATATATCACTATAGATCAGAAAAATGGTCGCATTGATGAAAATACCCGACAAGGAAAAACAATTCAGAAGAATCAAATCCCTGTTTATGGCACTGACCAATCTGTTATCAGATATGACTCATCCTGCAAGTGATCTCATACAATTTTAACGGTTACTAAATTTAACTAAAAATGCATGATTTCAACGCAAATTATTAAAATCTCAAGTAGGTAGGTTTGTATATGTTGAATAAAAAAAGGCTACTTTGAGCAGTTTTGAGTAATTATGAGTTGCTCAAATTTACTCGCTGCGAAACTATTTGCTCCAAGGGGTATTCAACTCTGCACACCTCAATCTGTGCCGAAAGCTGAGACAAGCGTTGGACCAAGTGTGTCGATCTCAGTATCCCATGAGTTTGGCAACCCTGCAGCTACATTGCAAAGTTCTCATGGATGGCTAAACGAGCTATATCTGTGTATGTTGCATAGTATATACGAGGGTAATCACTGTGCCTGTCCTGTTAAAAAGTAAAACGTGCATCAAATGACACACGAATGTGAGTTTTTCTTTGTACAACATTCATTCCTCTTGCTTTAACGATACCAAACGAGTGATAAGATTGGTAAGCGCGAGATCGTCGGCCACTGCTGATACTGGCAGCCACTATACGCTGACCGTTGCCAACCATTAAGTTCAAGCCCTAGCAGCACACTTGTCATTTAACAGTTGTGGTTACTTGTACGCACCTTATTTCAGTCACGATCAAGTTGCAGCAACCTATTTTGATAGATATGTGTTGCTTGGGAGTCCTCCACGAGAAGGAGAAGGGTGAGCGATGGCAGAAGCTGTCCATCCAGGACAAGAAATTCTTTACCTTGTTTCGTTCTGGTAAACGTTCGCCGAAACCTGTACTTATGACCCACCCGGCAAGTGGAAAATGTACCTCTACATTATCATCATGGTACTCGTACAATGCTACAAACAAGAAATTAAGAAGGATTCGACCTAAAACTCCCACTGGCGATAGTAGAAGTAGCAATAGACCTTCAGTTCCTTCAGTTGCTTCCTAGAGTTAGCCATTGATAGTATGGCGAACAAAGTAGTGTTTTTGCTGAGTTGTGCTGTGAAAATAAATTCATAATTTCGTGTGAAATAGTGCCGTGTGTCTTGATGGCAGATGGCAGTTCATATTCATATGAAAATGACTCATTGAACCTGACTGTTTTGCGCACTGCTTATAGCAGATAATGCAAATATAGATAGAGCTGGAATTAGGGCGTAATAGCTTTTGTAAACAATGACTTCTCTCGATGATTTCTGCAAAATCAAGGCTCGTCCACGCAAATCAACATCACAATCGGGAGGAGGAAGACTTCCCCTACCCGATGGTTGTATTGGATTGCGTGGGCGTGCCTTGAATTCTTAGCAATCTTCGAGAGAAGTCGTTGTTTACAAAAGCTGTTACGCCCTAATTCCAGCTCTATCTAGACATGTTCTGTTCAAGTGTGATAGTTGTCTATCAAATCAGAGTTGTGACGAACAGAATGATCTGATCTTGCGCGTCAAAAGGATAGAGGAGCAGACGAAGAAAGTTTTTCAACTCTCGGACTCGAGCACTGGTATGCGAGATCACTTTGCTGCTCAGGTGGACATCGCACTTAAAAGCGGGATGGCAGACTAGACTAAATGTAAATGGTCTTGAAAATTTAATTTGTGAGAAATTGGACAATTGAAAAGTTCATTTTTTTGTTAATTGATGCGCAAAACCAATTAGCTGTTATGAATGATCAGCGCAGTTCATCTAGGACGATTCAGTCGGAATCGGACCAATATCCTTCTTAATGTTGCTAATACAAGATCTACTGATGCCACCAGCCTCCACAGTCAATTGAATCTCCGAGATCGTACAGTCCATAAAATGGAGTGGTTCTGCGGGAGAAACTACTGCGGTTACAGTTGCATCTGCAGAATGGCGGGATCGTTCTGTACCGGGTTGTTGTTGACACCGTACATCAATGCTGCAATTGGAACTGGATTCTGAAATTATTCTTGTTTATACAATTTGCTTTCAGTGCGTATCCTATTGCCATCTGGGGTTGATACGTAAGCAGGCCTATTCCGACCCAAAACATGAATCCTTCCGATTGTGCAACCTTCTATTATGCTTGAGGATACTTTCGCTGGAAAAAAAATAATCTTAAAACCCTTCACTTTGAAGTAAGCGAACGTTCACTACGTTAGCAACGGTTGTCAAAATTTCAACTCAAAGCAGTGATGCTATTTTACATTATATTCTATCTCATACTTATCATCGAGTGCCCTAGCGTGCCGATCAGTGTGCTATGATGTGTTTCACAGTGTGCAGAGTTGATTGCCCATTGATTTGCTCTGAGTACAGCTGACTTTTCATTTGCATGGCATTTACAAACCAGCACATGTTCCGGCCATGCATCTCCGGAACCAGTTCACGATTTCAAAAATATTCAAAAAGTTTTATGAGACCATAATACCAACAATCAATACGAATCTAACGATTTTAAATTGGCTCACCACTTGACTAGTCTATTGGTCCCAAGCAAATCGATTAACGTATCCCATTCTAGTCGAAATTCTAGTACTACACAATGTTTGTTTTGATTCGCTATGAAAGTTTGACAGATAAAATGAGGGGTTATTGGTTTTTCCTATGTTTCGAGGGGTGAATCGGTTAGCTTGGGACCGAAGAGAGTACCAGAGCTGAGCCAAAAAGTTGAGCACGTTATTTCGGGACCTTCTCGTCTTAGAGTTACCTCTATGATAATAACTTCTCCCACCCGCATCTTTGAAGGTGGACGCGCCTCTGCATTGCATTCCATATATTCAAAATATGAAAGTTATTCCAGGAATCAAATTTAGTTTGTCTTGCTGATCTCTAATTTTAAAATCCCAGCATTGACAAATTCGTCCAAAATATCCAAAAATTTATTACGGAACACTTGTTTTTTTTTGAGATCGAGATTTTAAGTTCTAGACGCATTTTTTTGTCCGCGATCTGTGATGAGATTTTGGACGGGAAAATTTCACAAATTTCGGAGGAAAACCCGGGAAATGGCTAATCGAGGTTTGCTGGTCACCATTTTTGGTCCAGTTTTGAGAAATCGCTGGTAGAAAGACACGCTAAAACTGCTTGACAAAGTGGTCCATTTGGAGTAAAAAATAGCAACATTTAGTAAACCTATTCCAAGCAAGTTCAATGTAGACATTCAGATTCTAATCCGACGTTCGACCTACACTCCGCCCCATCGTCCCCACCGAGAACGCTCTGTCCGTCGTCTGAACCTCATTCTAGCATGGATTTAACCCTCATCGGAAGTGTTTTTCCCTTTCCGTCGCCATTCTAGGTATCGCGAGGCATCGGCAATTTCTACGCGTACTCCTAAACTCGACCAAGTGCTAGCTAGGCAACAGCCTCGAGAGGAACCCTGGAAGAACGAACTGCTAGTGCTCACCCACATTCGATCGAACCGCACCTCATTCATCCAGACACACACACACACAGAGATACAGTAGAGATTTTCATTACTCTTTGTTCATTAAATTGTTATGGTTTCGTTGGGAAAGTTTTCTCTAAAGTGCGACCCCCACCCCCGTCATCACCCACACAGTAACTATTATCACTATTAGGAAGCATATATTATTCGGCGTCACGCAAATATGTATGTCTGTATATGTACGTACGAACACGTACGTAGGTTTAATTAGTTGTCATTAAATATAATTTCGTAATGTTAAGCAGAAAAACAACAGCAAGCGAATGTGTTCTAATCCCAACTATTGTACAGTAGGAAATAGTTACATGTGTAGACAAGTCCAAAACACCGATTGGATTAGCCGAGGTTCGAATTATAAGCCGAAATCATGTTATGTGTATTCGTTTCGTTTTCACCGTTGATTTTCCTATTGTTTCTTTCTGGAAAGAGTGCCATTTTCGCTTTGTGTTACCTTTCTTAACAATCCACACACACACAGACAAGATTGCAATCTGCATTTATGCCGTATTTGGTGAGCGATCGAATTCAGCGTGCAATGGCCGGCCAACTTTTTCTGTCTCTGTCTCCGTCTTTCGAATGTAACATTTCGTACTTCCAATTCATCTCCGGAATCCAGAGTGGTCCGCACGAAAATCATACCATCATAGAACCATCGATACACACACCGCGTTGAAGTAAGATTTAACTAGTACTGCCACTAAATTACACTATAATAAAAACATATTGAAATAAATGTGGAATGGAAAGCATTTTAATCTCGCGCAGGAGTAATCGCAAACATAATATACTGTATAAAATATGAGCAGCAAATATGAAGAAACCCTTAGCTAGGATTGTAGAAATATGAGAATGTTAAAAATCGCCCGCAAAACGTACTGTTCTTTTGTATTTTATATAAACACAAAACATAAACGACGCTTGTGCGAACGGTC